ATTCCTTTGAATTTTTCTACATTTTTGATGGTATAATTTTGCATTTTTGATACTGCTTACTTCGGCTTATGGAGGTTGGACTGATAAAGACATACATCACTTTGATTGTTCTTCTAAGATTATTTTAAAATTATTAACTTTATTTATTAACTTTCATTTGTGTTTTTGTTGGCTCAGAAACCGATTGTTTTACTTATTCCGTATAAGATGAATTTGAAATGTAATTTCTATTTTCCATGGTTTTAAATTTTATATATATATGTGGGATATAAAAACGCGTAGCAATGCTGATGGCGTAGCACGTTGATAACTTAAAATGTAGATCCATATTCAAGAGGAAAAATTTTGATTGCATAGTAGGCTAAAATGTTGAATACGTAATGACTGGGCAACATGGCAGCCAACTAATACTAAATATTCATTTTTATTTTAATTGACATTTGTGGCCACAATTTACTTGCACTTTAATCGTGCCTGTACAAGAATATTTATAGCTTTCATACTGTTGCGACAGGAAGAGAGCACAGCGAAAAAGCATCATTACAGGAAGACAGGCAGAAGCTAAAGTACGCAATTATTTAATATGGAGACTCACTAAGAGAAGGTTTTGGTTTAGATTAAAAAGGTTTTAGTTCTCGAAATTTAAATTAATTTTTTGAATTCAGGTTCCGAATTAGCTACGTCATTAGGGTTGTACAAGCCATGAAAGATGTATTAATCAAGAAATGACGCAGTTCAGAAAAGTTATTACGATTTTAGAATAGAGAAGGGGAATTAAGAAGTTACCGCTAGTTTAAATTAAAATTTTAATTTACATATTTTTATCTTACATATATACTGTAATTTAATATAAAATAAATTTATTAGGTTAAGGAGGGGAAGTATTAAAAAAGAAATAATGCGCATATTCTTAAAGTTGTGGCTAAAATATCAGTGTGGAATAAAAAATATCTAGGATGATGTGAATGGCTGCTGGATACATGAAATAATTATTGCATCTGTATTGCATATCCCATCTCATGCAATTCTAGATGCAACAGCAATCATGTAATTATCATGCAGTTCAAGTAAAAATGAAGTACTTATATTATACGACATTATAAATTTTATTACTATAACTGAGATTTTACAAATACACAAAGTATTTAATTATAATAATAAATAACTAAAATATTATTAATATATGATTGGGATTAACTGTAAAAAATTTAATTTTAATTATAAATCACCTAGTGTCATTAACGCGAATTGAAATTTTTTGAAGCACATTCCGGATTGTAAATTTGTAAATTTATTCGATGGGATTGTGGATAAAGAAACAAAAGTAGTATTCTTTGGCTTACAACGTAATTATCATGATTCGACAGCGGCATAATATTGTCATGGCATATTTAATTTTTTTAATCATGTAAAAGTTATTACATAGCAGAAACACGCGGACTACTTTCAGTGAAGCGTTAATAAACCTACTGTATTTTAGCCAATGATGGGTGAGAAATTATGATACAAGTACTACGCTAATGTAAATTTGTAAAAGAGAACGGATTACTTCGTCTAGACTGAGATAATGATTTGCAAAATTACCATAAAATCTCAGTACCAACAACTGTTTTTTTAATTACAGACAGAAATTACAGTTCTCGATGTTTAATGAACTTCTACTTTAATTAGCATATTTCTAAGACTCAGTAAGACCTGACTTGATTTTGTAATTTCGATGAATATTTTCCTATTTTTATAGCGTCATTTAAAAAGATAATGAGGTTAAAGGTATTGTGCTCTCATGTTTTCATTGTTATATGAAAGCCTGTACTTTTCGTTTCAACGCAATTTGAGTTCATTGTACTGTATCATAAATCAAATTAAAAGTGTTAACTAAAGCACTAAAGTAAGCAATTTTTAAAAAATTATCTCACACAATTTATTTGTTTTGTAATAACAAATATAATAATAATATGATATGTTGTTTCATTTTGTTTAAAATCTACCAGCTGTTTTCAAATAATTCCAGATAGTAACACTGAAATTTAATATGCAGTCTAACTTAAAGTAAAGAATATTTTATTTACAAAAATTTGCATGATTCTTAGATCTAAGATGGGAAAATACATTTTTAGAATTGCTTCACATCTGGCCGGAGTATATTTATAATTATGAATTTCAATAATGAAAAGCTGAAAAGTACAGCTTCTATTTAGAAGAAAAGTTCAGATAACTCTGCCCTTGAATTATACAGCAGGTGAGTGCATAAAAGTAATACTTTTGGGCACTCACCTGCCCAAAAGTATAACATTACGTTATTTCATAACGTATTGAACCGAATAACATTGAAACGCCCTTTGAAAGTTACAGTAAGAAATAAAGAAATATTTTACACACAAATACATGTATTTTTCTGTATACATGGAAGGAAAATTAAATAATAAAAGAAAATAATTTCGCAATTACTTATCCTCAAGACATGCCCCATTTCAAAAGTATTCTAAGTTGTTAATTTCTATTTTAAATTTAAAATAAGTTGTTAACTACTTAATTCAACATATTAGAATTATTTGAAATAAGCCGAAGTATAAAAATTTAATATTTAGTTCTGAATAAGTTTGAACCGCAACCTGTACCCAACAAAAAGTTCTTGTAAATCCCTACATTTAGAATTCAGTCATAAAATTAATATAAATTGGAATTTTTAACTTCAAGTCTTTGTTATTACCCTTTCATGCATGCTTTGATAAATATTTAAAAAATAAAATTTAAAATTTTGTTAAAATATTAACTGTTTTGGTTAAAAAAAATTCGGTTGACCAGCCCTTTTTGCATTCTGCCAGTATGCAATTTGAGTCTCATATCATTGGGTAAGCAACATCAAATATGCTGGAAATGTGAGTATGTTCCCCCCACAAGTGATGGAAACTGTAGATGTTAGTGTATTTACACTGGGTCATGCTTGTTTTCGAAAATTTGTGCTTTCAGTTTTTTGTGCAAATATCAGCTACTGAATATTAGCGATACGACTTGGTTTTCCATTTACGCAAACTATTTTTCTTTCACATAAACTATTGACTATGTTTCAAACCTGTTTATTTTCGAAAAGATAATTAAAAAAGTTTTTGTTGCTGTTGTTGTTGTTTTTTGTGATGCAAATTAGATTATTCCAAGAATTCCACAACGTGCGTTTGTTGTGGGCTTGGGGGTTACACAGGTTAGAATACAAGACACTGTATTCCATTTTCTTCAACCATGGATTCAAGTTCTCGGTTCTCCCCAATTATCGCCACTCCATGCTTGGAGGTGGTCAGTTGCACTTCATGCTTGCTCAATTGGTCCATGCTTGGAGGCTGCTCAGTGTACGTTGCTGTGGTGCTGCTTTCATTCATTTCCTGGCATTATTGTACCTTGGGATGTACTATTGTTTATGATTCTTGGTCATAATATTTTATCATTCTGACTTGCCAATGTCATACCGATGGTATCCGGCCGGATGTTGTATTATCAGTGCTGTTGGGCATGCCAGAGGCTATTCTTCGGCATAATCATGCCCAATCGTCAGCAGCGGACATCGTTGGAATTTCTTCGAGACATAAATACTCCTCTATTGCTTATTGATTGCTCGATTTCGCCCCTGCTGGATGCTTTTGGGGTATCATCGGCTATCACCTTAAACCATCGCAAAACGTATTTGATCTGACATCGAAATTGCACCGAGTCTGTCCAGACAATTCACACCTGGTAGGACAGTGTTAGACATGTATTTGCATCCATGCCAAACATGCGACATGCGACGGGGGACGTGGGCATCACCCCTTTACCGTCGGTTAATTGGTGCAGCGCCACGTCCACCAGTATCTAGAGTTGAACCTTGAGTCTTTCAAAAGAGCAATTACATGACCATACAAGGGCTGTTAATATTTAGTATTACATTCTTGTTTGCTGGTTAACATATTCTATGGATAACGTGATTTACAGAGTTACATACTGACTTTGTCTCTCATTTCCGGCATACATGCATATGCATTACTGAATTACATTAATCTTACATTGCGTTGAATTACTTTTGTGTACAGTTACAGTTTTTAGCTGTACATTTCAATAAATATACCTACATTACTTGTAGATTGCATATAAATACAGTTTGCATGTACAGTTACATATGCCAATATTACATGTGCCTTACGTTACATTATTTTTATATACATACATAGTCAGGCACGCCTGCTTCACATATTACTTAATTTTACCTACACTGCTTAACCTTAGGTTACATATACTTGCAGTTGCATACAGATACATGCAAATACATTCTGATTAATTTTTTTAGATACAAATATTTACAAACATAATAGTCTTACAGGTTACTTACATTACATGTTATTTGGGTACTTATTGCATAATTTTTCCAGTACATGAAATAGACATTCCAATATATACATTGCTTTGCGTTAGACATCCTATATCCCTTATTCATAATACAAAACATATATGTTACCCATGCATTTTTATTAGACATTTCTGCATTTATATTGCATTACTTTAAATTGCATAACTTACTTATACATATCTTACTGATACACAAAAATATTTACATATATTACACTCCCTTACATTACTTTGCTTACAGATATATGCACTTTCATACATTCGTTATGCCTACATTATATATCGGTTCATTATATATGGTCTTACGGTATAATTTGCCGAAATTTATTTACACAGTACATGCACATTGTTAAATGCAACTGACTTTCCAGGTATGAATACAGGCAGTCTTTATACTGTGAGTTTCTAGTCTACATTATAGTTTCTTACAACCACTTGAATGACAGTTTGCCTACATTGCAATACATGTCCTTTTTAAAATGCTTAAGTTGTTTTTACATGCTGGGTTGTTCTATGGCTGACACAAGTCTGTATCTAAGTCGGACAGTCTGTCCATCAACTGTACTAGCTTTTTAATAAAGTGCCGCTGTTTTATCATATATTTACAGAATGGCTGGCGATTTGTTTCAGGGAGATTGATATGCAGTCCTTCTCTTAATGGGCATGACGTTAGATAGTGCTCTGGTGAGCCTGTGTCGCCGCATGCACATTGACGTGTGACTTATGCCACGCTTGAAGAAATATTCCGGGTAGGGCCCATGCCGGGAAATGAACCTTACCAACTGTGCGTTCGCTACATTTTGGCTAGTGTCCACATAGCCGATGAAGTAGTGGGTCTTTCTCCCTGTGGTGCTTTGGTCCCATTCGTTCTGCCACATGCCAGTGGCCCTTAGGCGTAGTGTCTTCTTTAAATACGAATGCGGCCATGGGATGATAATTGGTGCATCAGGCGGGTCAGTTGTTGCCTCTTTGGCGAGTTGGTCGGCAAGCTCATTGCCATAGTGGCCAACATGAGCCTTTATCCACTCTAATTTTGTGCGGTACTGGGGGTTGCTTCTAAGATCTCTCTGGATTCCTTGTATAATCTCCGAGGGATGATCTGCATTCCAAATGGCATATAACGATGATAAGCTGTCCGTTTTAATGGTGACATGGCTATGCTGGTGCGAGTGCAGGTAGCGAATCGCTTGTGCAATTGCCACTGCTTCGCTTTGAAAGACACTGTTATGTTGTCTTAACTGTCCCTTCCATTTCTCGATTGCGTTGTCTTGTTTCGTGGCGACATAGGCGCATCTCACTCTTTCGTCCAATCTAGACCCGTCTGTATAGATGGTCATTTCCCTTGATTGATGAGTTGCAGTGGGATTAATTGAGATAAGTATCCCTTTGCCTTTCTCTGCCGGGTGGACGTCAAGAGGGCAGAAGTTTGTTTCGTACTCATCCGGGTAGTATGTTTCATCGTCAAAAGTGACTGCTTTCTTAAGTTGCAAAATGTGTTGGCGTGCTGCCTCCTCCTCAACCCGGATGTGCAGGGGAAGTAGACCAGCAAGTACGTTAATGGCATCGGTGGAGGTGGTGCGGTAGGCCCGTGTGATTCCCAATGCGAATGGTCGTTGTATGCTGTTAAGATGTCTGACCTTCCTTCCTTGCATTGGGTAGGCCCATACTGCGGCAGCATACGTCATTATCTTCTCGATGACTGTTGAGTACAATACCTTTTGAATATGGGGGTTAAGCCTCCATTTGTGACCATAAAAGAGTTTCATTTGTTTGGCTATGGCTGCCGTCCGGAGTTTGAGATCCTGCACGTGAGAGATCCAGGTCATCTTATGATCAAAAGTGACCCCTAAATATCTTAGCTGGTCCACTATCTGCAGGCGTTGGTTGTTAATCTTTATGGTAGGGCGTCTTACTAAGGATCCTCCTTTTTTCGGAATTAAAAGGACTTTTGACTTATGTTCATCCATGCCAAACAGCATGTCCACGTGTATCAAAGTCAGAGACGGCCCTGCATCATGTATATTTGTATTGACTTCTGACTGCAAATATGGTAAAAAATGGCGTTGTTTGTTCTCTGTTTGTTTCCGTTTTTTACCCCCATATGCCACCAAGCTGGTCTAGTGGACAGCACAGTTGTCGTGTATCATTGGTCTCGAACTCGAATCCCGGAGAAGGGATCGACCCTTGTAAGTGTACAGTAACTCTGCATGAGAGAGCACTGACGTAGAAAGCAAGCCGAAAGTCCTCACCAATGGATGGTGGTAAAGAAAGAGAGGTGCAGGAACCTCGGATCGCTTCCCAACTGTTCTTCCTCAAAATTGGGATGGAAGCGTAACAGTTAGCTAGGTTCAGCAATGTCCCAATAACTTGTGGTACTGCAGAGGTGATGGACTAGCTTCTACTTCTATCTGTCTCTTGATGTGCCTCCCTATACGGGTATATCTCCCTATATACTCTGTATGGACATATAGAGAGTTTAGCGATGATGACTGCTGTATCATTGGATCTGGATTCTAAACTGCTAAGAAGCTTGGGTATTTGTAAATGTACCCTATCTGTGCCGTATGAGGATCTCTTAATGCTTTACTGTCAAAAGCACTCTTGAGGGCTTTGATGATGTGGAATGAGGCGTGGGAGCAAAATAGAAATGAAGCTGTAATTGCGGTGGGACAGTAATTGTAAAATTCTTTGAAGTTCTGTAGCCTCCCATACCTTTACGTCCGCTCGTATCTTCCCTATGTTCTCGAAAAATTTCATCATTTAATTGATGATATCGGATAGTTAGCACGGTATATACAATGTTTTCTATATGATTTTCTTATCCTTTTTAATATATATTGGGATGATATGGATATATGCGACAATTTGAAAATTTGCAAAAGTAACAATAATAATTAACTCTGCAACAATGTTTGAAATAATGTCTTGCGTCATATATTGATTTTTATGCAGTTAAAAATCTATTCAGTTTGCAAATGAGAAATGTACACTTTTGGGGGCTTAGCTTTTTTATAAAAATATAATATTCTAATACAATTAACTTATAATTCCTCGCCACTATTGCTAAATTCTAAGAATTGAATATGCACATGATTCATATCAACACTTCTGAGAATCTACACTGTTACTTCCACGTTCTTCAGAGTTAACACTACATCACACTACATGTGTATGAAACTTAGCATTAAGGACAAAAGTTTCTTTTCCTCACCTCACTGAAATATTTTAAGCAATTTGGTTTTATTTTGGGCATAAAAAACATTTCCATATAACATAATTCTTTCACATTTTGAGTTACGCTATATAAAAATAAACTTTAATTTCCAAGAATTTTACATTTCCCAAAATTTTAATAGAAATGTGAAAACCATACAACTCTAGAAAGATGAATTCGAAATCTCTCGAGAAGCAAGTCAGCCATTTGCCAGCTTTTCATTAACGCTTTAGCGGATAGCCGTTTAGATTTCGATCAGGGGGACGTTATAAATTAAGATCAACTTGGCTATCGATTTTCGGAAGCTAAGCGGGTGTATGGATGGAGAGAAGAGTGTTTGTGTGAAGGTCCAGTGTCTGCACTTTTCCCGTCCTTTCGCTAGATAAGGTTTCTGAAGGTGTAAAAATAACTGCCTTCTACGATTGAGTTATATTTACGAGGGAGATTAGTCGCGGTGCCGTCAGAGTTGAATTGCTAATAAGTGTAATTTAGCTGCTAAGTCGGATCTCCAAAAGTGAAATCAAAGAGGAATCAGTAGGAGGATGGCATTGAAATAGGGATTGAGGACTTAAGGAGAAATAATGAGGCCTCTGGAAACTTATTTCTTTGCAGTTAGGTTGCTACATTTGCCCATATAGAGAGCATAATTTAATCTGATTCCAAAGTTTCGTTTTAATACCTTTACCTTAAATTCAGAAAGCGTCCCTTTGAACATATTTTATATTCTAGATTCACAACCCCTTATGAATACGTTCGAGTAGTATTTGTTATCAGATAATACTTAATGATTACGGTTTTACTTAAAATGACTGCGCTGTCTCTCAATTATAAGGATAAGGGCAGAATTAAATTAATTACACAATCCTTCCGCATTACATCGAAAGTGAATATTTTACGAAACCGTATATTCAATAACTGTGCCTTCTTATTCCATATTATGATCAATAGCGCCGACTGTCATGTTGCTGGTACCGGCTTCGAAAACTGAAGAAGACGTTTTTCGGTAGTGTCATATTTGCCATTAATCTATGCTTTTTTGCGGTTCCTGGGAAATGCTGCAGGTCACAAGGTCATTAAATACTGATGGGCTCGAATATTTTCGATTCAATTCAGCAGCAAAATCACGAAATATTTAAAATTTCTGATAGACAATATCGCGCACAGGAGATAAATATGTTTTATTCAGTACAGTGTAACTACTGCTTGCTTTTTAATTGTTGAGCTTGTTAGTCAAAAATTAATTAAAGATTTACAAAATATGAACTAAATACTAAAAATATCTATAACGCCATTCTATGAAAATATTGAATATTTTTAATCAGATAATCATGAATTAAATGCATTTTTATTATTTAAATCAATCCGATTCGAGATCTAATATACAAATACTCATAAGAACTACATCTATTGCTTACAAATAGCTTAGTTTCTTAATCCACAACAGAAAGAATAAATGGGAAAGTAAATATCTTACATTTTGCCGAATGGCAACAGACTCGAATAAAACGTAAAAAGACACATTTCTTGTGATTCAAGGCAAAATTGTATTTCAAGACTAGTAGCCGTTTTGGACAAAATATGTAGAATTTAATATTCTCGTAGATAAGTGTAAGGGAAACGAGAGAAGGAAATAGTTTACAAAGTCATTTGGTTACACCGATGCAGGAACGCAAAAACTGCGCTTGCACTCACCAGGATTCAAACTCTCGACCTGTCAAATATGCACAGAGCATGCTACCATCTACACCATGAAGGTGTACAAGAAGGAGGAATGAAATACCTTATGTGTTGTTTCTAATAATTAGTTTTGAATTGTGAGTATTATGATTTACTTATGAAATATTATTAAGATTTATGTGTTTACATTTTACTCAAACACATTTATAAACATTTAAAACATAATCGCAAAAGTCATGCGATTGCAAAGGTTGGATATCCATAAAGCAGAATGAATAAAACAGGCTTAGCTGTGGTTGGTGTAATTAAACAACAAATTTACTAAATAGAAAAAATGAATAAAATTCCATCTTTCATTCGTTGCGTAAATTTCAGTTTATCGTTATCTAAGTGCCAAATACAGTATTATTATTAATACTAGCAGGCTGCATCCGAAGCAAAAATTATAAGTTCAATGTACCCCTGCAAAGTAAATGTATAAAGAACATTTCAGTATCAATGAAATAAGTATCAGTGATTCATAAATAATTTTTTATTGCCAATCCAGGAAACAAAAACTTTTGACACGTCAGGTTAATACGTATGACGCAAGATTTAAATTTAATGTAATATAACATTTTCTCAAACCAATAAAAGAATTAATGTGACATTAATATATCATGTCAATTACACTAACCTGAAACAAATAGTCGTGAACAGCAGCTATTTATTTAAAATGCTGATATTAAGGAAAATTTTTCTACATACTATGACGTCACATGCATTCGCGTGCTTTCTTCTTGTCAGAATATGACCTTATATAATAATAATAATATATTGAAGGTTTGGCAATGCTAATTTTATTTCAAATTTTGTAAAACTTCCAAATTTTTTATTAACTAACTCTACGATTTGAATGCAAGCAAAGGCAACACTTTTCGAAGTATAGCAGATTTTTATCGCCAGCGTGTGAGACTGTTGCCACTCGAAAAAATGAAGTCGCAAATTAACGTTTTCAGAGTTTTTAGTTATTATCTCGGCTAACTAAAGTCGTACCAAGATGTGAATAGTTGAAATGACTTTCCTTGAATTTTTGGCAGCCGGGAGTACCTCTCCAAAAGCTCAACTATCAGATGTTCAATGCCACAAGCAAACAAACAAATAGACAGATTTTAATGGTATAGAAGATTGTTTTAATGTTAGTGTTAATACAGAATGTGGAAAGAAGATAACATAAAGAATAATGAAGCTTTTATTTAACAGCTCTTTGTTTCACAAACTTATCCATATAATGGTATAGAAGATTGTTTTAATGTTAGTGTTAATACAGAAGGTGGAAAGAAGATAATATAAAGAATAATGAAGCTTTTATTTAACAGCTCTTTGTTTCACAAACTTTAGCATATAAGCATGCATTAAATTTGTTGATAAGTTTTCATATGCCATCTACCTTTCTGAAGATTAAAGAGATAGGGTTCTGAAGGTTCTATTTTTCAAATTTTCCTTTAGAGTATCCTTCGAATTTATTTCACTCTTTCAGCAGTAACTTTTCAGCTATACATGCAAAATAAAATTCTTCAATGTAATAAATATTGCACGTAAATTTGAAAATAGCATTAGCATTCTAATATTGATTAAAGGTATGTTTTCATTAGTGCATTATTTCCATATCCTCAAAGAAAAGAACAAATGCTTCATAAAGTTATGAAAATTTCATGTTTGTTATTTCAAATTGTTGAAAAGCTTGCAGATCACGAACAAATAAATTATTTTTTACATAGTCCATCTTAATTATTTTATGAATATAATTTTATGTAACTTTCCTAAATATCATACAATGTTTTATAATTTTAATGCAAAATAAAATTCTTCAATGTAATAAATTTTGCACGTAAATCTGAAAACAGGATTCCATTAATATTGATTACAGGTATAATCTGTTTTCATAGTGCATTA